CATATGGGGTAAAAAAAACATAAGGTCATAAAATACAACAGAAAATATATATACAGTGTGTGCAAATGTAGCAAGTTATGGAGGTAAGGCAATAAATAGGCTATAGTGCAAAATAATTACAATTAGTATTAACACTGGAATGCTAGATGTGCAAGAGATTATGTGCAAATAGAGATACTGGGGTGCAAAAGAGCAAAATAAATAACAATATAGGGATGAGGTAGTTGGGTGGGCTAATTTCAGATGGGCTGTGTACAGGTGCAGTGATCGGTAAGGTGCTCTGACAACTGATGCTTAAAGTTAGTGAGGGAGATAAGAGTCTCCAGCTTCAGAGATTTTTGCAATTCGTTCCAGTCATTGGCAGCAGAGAACTGGAAGGAATGGCGGCCAAAGGAGGTGTTGGCTTTGGGAATGACCAGTGAGATATACCTGCTGGAGCGCAGACTACGGGTGGGTGCTGCTATGGTGACCAATGAGTTAAGATAAGGCGGGGATTTGCCTAGCAGTGATTTATAGATGGCCTGGAGCCAGTGGGTTTGACGACGAACATGTAGTGAGGACCAGCCAACAAGAGCGTACAGGTCACAGTGGTGGGTATTATATGGGGCTTTGGAGACAAAACGGATGGCACTGTGATAGACAACATCCAATTTGCTGAGTAGAGTGTTGGAGGCTATTTTGTAAATGACATCGCCGAAGTCAAGGATCGGTAGGATAGTCAGTTTTACGAGGGCATGTTTGGCAGCATGAGTGAAGGAGGCTTTGTTGCGAAATAGGAAGCCGATTCTAGATTTAACTTTGGATTGGAGATTCTTAATGTGAGTCTGGAAGGAGAGTTTACAGTCTAACCAGACACCTAGGTATTTGTAGTTGTCCACATACTCTAGGTCAGACCCGTCGAGAGTGGTGATTCTAGTCGGGTGGGCGGGTGCCAGCAGCGTTCGATTGAAGAGCATGCATTTAGTTTTACTAGTGTTTAAGAGCAGTTGGAGGCTACTGAAGGAGTATTGTATGGCATTGAAGCTCGTTTGGAGGTTTGTTAACAGTGTCCAATGAAGGGCCAGATGTATACAAAATGGTGTCGTCTGCGTAGAGGTGGATCTGAGAGTCACCAGCAGCAAGAGCGACATCATTGATATACACGGAGAAAAGAGTCGGCCCAAGAATTGAACCCTGTGGCAACCCATAGAGACTGCCATAGGTCCAGACAACAGGCCCTCCGATTTCACACATTGAACTCTATCTGAGAAGTAGTTGGTGAACCAGGAGAGGCAGTCATTTGAGAAACCAAGGCTATTTAGTCTGCCAATAAGAATGCTGTGGTTGACAGAGTCGAAAGCCTTGGCCAGGTCGATGAAGACGGCTGCACAGTACTGTCTATTATCGATCGCGGTTATAATATCGTTTAGGACCTTGAGCGTGGCTGATGTGCACCCATGACCAGCTCGGAAACCGGATTGCATAGCGGAGAAGGTACGGTGGGATTCGAAATGGTTGGTGATCTGTTTGTTAACTTGGCTTTCAAATACTTTCGAAAGGCAGGGCAGGATGGATATAGGTCTGTAACAGTTTGGATCTAGAGTGTCACCCCCTTTGAAGAGGGGGATGACCGCGGCAGCTTTCCAATCTCTGGGGATCTCAGACGTTACGAAAGAGAGGTTGAACAGGCTAGTAATAGGGGTTGCGACAATTTCTGCGGCTAGTTTTAGAAAGAAAGGGTCCAGATTGTCTAGCCCAGCTGATTTGTAGGGGTCCAGATTTTGCAGCTCTTTCAGAACATCAGCTGTCTGAATTTGTGTGAAGGAGAAACGGGGGGGGGGGCATGGGCAAGTTGCAGCGGAGGGTGCAGAGTTGGTGGCCGGGGTAGTGGTAGCCAGGTGGAAAGCATGGCCAGCCGTAGCAAAATGCTTGTTGAAATTCTCGATTATTGTAGATTTATCAGTGGTGATAGTGTTTCCTAGCCTCAGTGCAGTGGCCAGCTGGGAGGAAGTGCTCTTATTCTCCATGGACTTTACAGTGTCCCAAAACTTTTTGGAGTTAGTGCTACAGGATGCAAATTTCTGTTTGAAAAAGTTAGCCTTTGCTTTCCTGACTGCTTGTGTATATTGGTTCCTAACTTCCCTGAAAAGTTGCATATCGCGGGGGCTATTTGATGCTAATGCAGTACGCCACAGGATGTTTTTGTGCTGGTCAAGGGCAGTCAAGTCTGAGGAGAACCAGGGGCTATATCTGTTCTTAGTTCTGTATTTTTTGAATGGGGCATGTATATTTAAGATTGAGAGGAAATTACTTTTAAAGAACAACCATGCATCCTCTACTGACGGAATGAGATCTACAGTGGGGAAAAAAAGTATTTAGTCAGCCACCAATTGTGCAAGTTCTCCCACTTAAAAAGATGAGAGGCCTGTAATTTTCATCATATGTACACGTCAACTATGACAGACAAAATGAGAAAAGAAAATCCAGAAAATCACATTGTAGGATTTTTAATGAATTTATTTGCAAATTATGGTGGAAAATAAGTATTTGGTCAATAACAAAAGTTTCTCAATACTTTGTTATATACCCTTTGTTGGCAATGACACAGGTCAAACGTTTTCTGTAAGTCTTCACAAGGTTTTCACACACTGTTGCTGATATTTTGGCCCATTCCTCCATGCAGATCTCCTCTAGAGCAGTGATGTTTTGGGGCTGTCGCTGGGCAACACAGACTTTCAACTCCCTCCAAAGATTTTCTATGGGGTTGAGATCTGGAGACTGGCTAGGCCACTCCAGGACCTTGAAATGCTTCTTACGAAGCCACTCCTTCGTTGCCCGGGCGGTGTGTTTGGGATCATTGTTATGCTGAAAGACCCAGCCACGTTTCATCTTCAATGCCCTTGCTGATGGAAGGAGGTTTTCACTCAAAATCTCACGATACATGGCCCCATTCATTCTTTCCTTTACACGGATCAGTCGTCCTGGTCCCTTTGCAGAAAAACAGCCCCAAAGCATGATGTTTCCACCCCCATGCTTCACAGTAGGTATGGTGTTCTTTGGATGCAACTCAGCATTCTTTGTCCTCCAAACACGACGAGTTGAGTTTTTACCAAAAAGTTTTATTTTGGTTTCATCTGACCATATGACATTCTCCCAATCCTCTTCTGGATCATCCAAATGCACTCTAGCAAACTTCAGACGGGCCTGGACATGTACTGGCTTAAGCAGGGGACACGTCTGGCACTGCAGGATTTGAGTCCCTGGCGGCGTAGTGTGTTACTGATGGTAGGCTTTGTTACTTTGGTCCCAGCTCTCTGCAGGTCATTCACTAGGTCCCCCGTGTGGTTCTGAGATTTTTGCTCACCGTTCTTGTGATCATTTTGACCCCACGGGGTGAGATCTTGCGTGGAGCCCCAGATCGAGGGAGATTATCAGTGGTCTTGTATGTCTTCCATTTCCTAATAATTGCTCCCACAGTTGATTTCTTCAAACCAAGCTGCTTACCTATTGCAGATTCAGTCTTCCCAGCCTGGTGCAGGTCTACAATTTTGTTTCTGGTGTCCTTTGACAGCTCTTTGGTCTTGGCCATAGTGGAGTTTGGAGTGTGACTGTTTGAGGTTGTGGACAGGTGTCTTTTATACTGATAACAAATTCAAACAGGTGCCATTAATACAGGTAACGAGTGGAGGACAGAGGAGCCTCTTAAAGAAGAAGTTACAGGTCTGTGAGAGCCAGAAATCTTGCTTGTTTGTAGGTGACTAAATACTTATTTTCCACCATAATTTGCAAATAAATCATAAAAAATCCTACAATGTGATTTTCTGGATTTCTTTCTTCTCAATGTCTCATAGTTGACGTGTACCTATGATGAAAATTACAGGCCTCTCTCATCTTTTTAAGTGGGAGAACTTGCACAATTGGTGGCTGACTAAATACTTTTTTTCCCCACTTTATATCCAGCCAGGTCAATTAGGAAGGCCTGCTCACTAAAGTGTATTAGGGAGCGTTTGACAGTGATGAGGGGTGGTCGTTTGACCGCGGACCCGTTACGGACGCAGGCAATAAGGTAGTGATCGCTGAGATCCTGCAGCAATTCGACCATGAAGGCCTGATTCACACAGTCCCCTCTGAACAGTTGATGTTGAGATTTGTCTGTTACTTGAAGTCTGTGAAGCATGTATTTGGGCTGCAATTTCTGAGGCTGGTAACTCTAATGAACTTATCCTCTGCAGCAGAGGTAACTATGGGTCTTCCTTTCCTGTGATAAAGTGCCAGTTTTATCATAGCGCTTGATGGTTTTTGCGACTGCACTTGAATACATTTTTTACAGTGCTTGAAATGTTCCTGATTGACTGACCTTCATGTCTTAAAGTAATGATGGACTGTCGTTTCTCTTTGCTTATTTGAGCTGTTCTTGCCATAATATGGACTTGGTCTTTTACCAAATAGGGCTATCTTCTGTATACCCCCCCCCCCCCCACCTTGTCACAACACAACTGATCGGTTCAAACGCATTAAGAAGGAAAGAAATTCCACAAATTAAGTTAACAAGGCACACCTGTTAATTGAAATGCATTCCAGGTGACTACCTCATGAAGCTGGTTGAGAGAATGCCAAGAGTGTGCAAAGCTGTCATCAAGGCAAAGGGTGGGTATTTGAAGAATCTCAAATAGAAAATATATTTAGATTTGTTAACACTTTTTTGGTTACTACAGGATTCCATATGTGTTATTTCATAGTTTTGATGTCCTCACTATTATTCTACAACGTAGAAAATAGTAAAAATAAATAAAAACTGCTCAACTAAAACAATCTCGGGCAACCAACAGCCTAACAATCGACTAATTGGGGTCAGCCCTACTCCTGCTTCATCAGGGAGTGCTCCACTGACTGGCTTATCTGGAAAAACCTGTCAAACCACAAGTCTAGACAACAATGCTCAAGTGTTGCGGGCAGCCTGTTGCCGACCCCTGATATAAACCAACAAAAAGCCATTTTAACTAACAACCACAGAGTCTGGGTCAAGTGCTGCAGTTAGACTCACCGATGCCCGTGTTTGCACTGACCACCAGCATGGCAAAGTCTGGGCAGTAGCTGGTCAGGCCAAAGATGGTTGTCTTCAGGTACTTGTGGTGGCCGGCCAAGTCAATGAACGTGATCATCTTAGAGGCACTCTCACATATCTCCTCTGCCGTCCGCGACTCACTGTAGTTCACCACCTGAGTAGTGACACAAGAGGTCAAAGGTTAGAAATCACAAGCAAACCTATCCAGTCCTTTCATCTATTAGTGGCCATGAAAAGGCCATTTGAGAGTTTGGGACATGGCCAGTCCTTTCCCTCACCTCTCCTTTGCTGTTGAAGCCGAGAATCTCAAAGCTGATGCTGGAGGTGCGTCCGGTCTGGATCTCATGGAGGTGTCTGAAGAGGTTGAGTCTCGCCCGGCCTCGCCCATTATCCAGCTCACCCTGTGTCAGCACGCCTAGCAGGGTGGACTTTCCTGAGTCCACATTACCCAGCACAGCCACCCGCAGGTCCAGGAACTAAATACAAAAACACATGTATTAACATAGTATCAATGTTGACCTAGTCACACATAGCCAACTTATCAGCAAATGTAGTAGTACAAGTAGTGACTCTCGCTGTCTACAGCCAAGGTAAACACACTTAACGGTTTATGAGCTTCTCATGAGGTCACTAACCTGCTGGTCGTCTGGCACCTTCCTTATGAGAACCTCAGCGATCTTACGGGGGATGTCAGCATCGTGGTCCACCTCTCTCTCTCTGAGAATGGTGATGTCAGCTCCAACCCTTCACGTCAAAAGTAAATGAAGAGAGTCAATTACAACATTCATCACATCTTTAAAAAGGAGTATACGAGAAGGCTGCCAGTGTATTTACAATCTAAACAGTTGGTGTGTTGGTCGTACTTCTCTGCCATCCTGCCTAGGGTCTTTAGCGATGACCTCAGGTCTTCCTCTGATAGGCCAACCAGCATGCCATTGTCATCAACACCAATCTGATAGACAGCCTCACCCCGCCCCTCCTGTAGACGCCATTTCATCTGTGTGGCCAGGTGTTCAAAGCGGTATTGCGTGGGGTCGATCAGCTTCAGCTGTAGAGGGAGAGAGGAAGCTGAGACTAAAGAGCTGAAGGAATGGTGTGGCTAATACCTCGGTTCAGGCTAATGTCTAGTTTGCACTTTGCAGGTGGTGAAAATAACAGATAATGTAAGCAGGATGTCTTTGTACATTTGTTTGGAGGCAGCAGCTGCTCCTGGTCCTAAAAACGGCAGTGTTAATCCACTGTGGTAGGTCATGAACATGTTTGGGTTGCAGCCAGACTATTCACTGCTCTCCGGTCATAATACACCTTTACATACTGAACAGAAGAGTGAAACAAAGCTACATCCAGTGTTTTCCACTAGCGCCACTGGCTACTTTTTCCACTTAAAATTAACTAAGCTACTTTTCAATTCGCTAGTCAGAAGAAAAGAAAAGTAAGCCGATCCCTCTCCCGCTAGAAGAAACAATATACATCTTCTAGCAATCTATAGATAGGACAGGCGCCGGTCAGTCAGAAAGCGAGCGATGACAGGGAAACACTACTGTGTCCCGCCTCCCGATACCTGTGTGATTTGTCAGCGCTGTGGTTGGTTGCAGTCAAATTTCTTTACACGGAGGAGGGGGAGAGCATGATGCTTCTTTATCTTCTCTGTGAGTGAATTTCATGGCTCTACAGTCTGACCATTTTACTTGCATATGCACCTAAAAACAGATGTGTGCGAACTGAAAAAGTAAAATATGAGCACGTGCAAGTTGTTGTTTATGCCAAAATGAATTGCTGCCATAGCAATTTTCAAAGTATTTCTGCCATTTTGTTTCATAGCAGGAAGCTAATCACACAAAGAACCATATAAATAAGAATGATTTCTTATTTCTATGCAAAGAACTATGTAGAGTCTCATATAACCCACCTCAGGTGCAGCAACAGTGCCTGTGTCATTGTGCGCACAGTGAAGTGCTGAAAGATTCCTTTTTAGCAGCACACCAGCATTGAAGTTAGTAGAATTTAGCCAAATGTCTACTAAAGTGTGACTTTGTCCTCGTGTTTCTTGGCTATTTACATCATTTTGTTCACACACTAGGTTGTTATCCAATGTTAGTTTGAGCTTGCTCAACTGCTACTAGCAAAGGGATGTCGGAGAATCTCATCTCTCAGACAGATGAATCCCACCATTACCACGGTAAAGGCCCGCCCTTAAAGTGGCAGCTGAATATTTGTCTCACCCAAGTGACTCAAATATTTGAGGGTACATTGTACTTTACTGAGTATGGAAAACCCCCAAAACCTTTTATTCATTAAGTTGTAGTCATTTCCAGTGTTTCCCCTATATTCATTTTAAATAATTTTCAGGATGGTAGAACGTTTTCAGTGTAAAGTATGTAGAATTAACAAATCACCTAAATAAAAACAGTCAGGGAAAATCTACAATTCCTAAAATGGCATGTCATGGGGCCCCATCCACCTGACAGGTGTGGCATATCAAGAAGCTGATTAAACAGCATGATCATTACACAGGTGCACCTTTTGCTGGGGACAATAAAAGGCCACTAAAATGTGCAGTTGTCACAAAACACAATGCCACAGTAATGAACATTACATTATCTGGCAACAGCCCTGGTGGACATTCCTGCTGACTGCAGGAATGTCCACCAGGGCTGTTGCCAGATAATGTAATGTTAATTTCTCTACCATAAGCCACCTCCAACGTCATTTTAGAGAATTTGGCAGTACATTCAACCGGCCTCACAACCACAGACCATGTGTAACCACGCCACCCCAGGACGGCACCCCAGACGTATAGCGTCGTGTGGGCGAGCGGTTTGCGGATGTCAACATTGTGAAATACTTTCATTCTGTATTTGTGTGCTCCTAAATGTGCTCCTTGTAAAAATGGTCAGTGTAGAGCCTTGAATTTGCACGTCCCATATAATGTAGCCTAAGTGGTAACGATGAGTCAAAATCAACATTATTGTTTTCTGGCACATTTATTTTCTTTCGCGTGTTTCATTCAGGAGCCACCTTTCATTTATTTTTCAAGATAATGTGGGCAGTGGGCTATTTAAATGATCATTATGTTCTAATAAAATCCATAATATGAAGAAAATAATTGTGGCAATTAAAACTGATCTCAAGAGAAGATTTGTCACTCTGGATAAGAGCGTCTGCTAAATGATGTAAATGTAAGACAGGTTAAATGTTAAAAGGTTTCATGTTATTTTACTTAGACAATAGTTGTGATCATATAGTCGTCCTTCTACACAGTACCACAACAGATTGTTCCAATCTGGGAAGTAAAATCGCATGGAATCAACGCATTAGAATGTACCAGAGGCCACCAAAATATCGGTCTTTCTGCACTTTTTCTATTTGGCTGGCTCCTCCATGTACTTGTGAAATAAACTGTACATCACTAACCTGGTTACTGTAGTAACTAACTGGTTACTGTAGGTCTCTGAGAAGTTCCCATTTGGCCTTACCCTGAGTAGATCACTCCGATGTGGAGTGATATAAACTAGGGCTAGGCTATTCACTTGTGAAGTAAAGCTGAAATATAGACAACCAATGGTGGAAGCAAGATTAATGGAAACTGGCAGGCCTTCCATCAGCTGACAACTGCTATTCCCCAGTAATGAGTGAGCAAAGGTGTGTGTCATGACACATGTTTAACAATGTATTTCAGCTTACCTTGTACTCTATATTCCCCTCTTCAGCCTGAAAGAGAGGAGAGGACAACATTGTTATGTTGAACCGAAGAGAACTGAGACAATGGTGCCTATTGTTCTCTAAAAAGGCACAAAGAACCCCAATCTGACAAAGAGCAGTATCCAACAGTAAATGAATGGAGTGGGTGGTTGGAAGAACTGTTTAAAGCTGCTACAATGTTTCAACTAGCCATGAAATAGTCTATATGCAAATAGAACTGTAGATGCAAGGTGATGCAACTTCGGCTTAAATTGCTCTTTGAGTAGAGATTACCTGATTATTCTGTGAACTAAACACCACATACAGGCAGCCAATAGCATAGTCAATGAAAAACAATAGGCCCAACATCAGTGGTCACCAACTGGTCGATCACGCATTCCTAGTCGATCGCCAAATATTTATGTAAAAACCAACAACGATAAAGCGCTTCTTGCGCTGTTGGCGGTAGGTGCACTCGATTCAGCTGCCCTGCGGCCGGGTAGGCGAAGTGTTCCATTTTGAATCATCTCATGTGTCTGAAGGTACAAACTCTGCCTTCCCGGTGGGCCTGGAGAGCTACCGCTGGCCGCCTCAGAGTACAGTGTCGGCAGTAACGTAGCAGGTGTAAAATAAAAATACAGCAAAGTTGATACTGTGAGATAAAAATAAATGAATAACCGTGAATAGCGAAAGACTGTCAACGAATACAGCAAAGAGCTTCTGTATTTTTATGAATGAGTTCATGTTTGTTCTTACTCAGTACTGTCACTTTATATTCAACACTTTTATAAGTCATAAAATGCACGTTCTTCCTACTTCCACTCGCGCTACAACAAGCACTGCAGCTGAAATGAATGAATAGGAAAGTGTATTGATAGGTTTGCGTTGTTATTATTAGCGGTTTGAGTATTTTTTAATATCGAGGAATATTTCACTTTCTCTGTTCATAGGAGTAACATGAATTGGCACGACTCAAGTTTCACAATCAGCTGGAAGACTGTCGCTTTTTGGTCAGTGTCAGCAGAGGAAAGGGAGCTGGACCCTCAGTCTGTTACTCTCTCCCTCCACTGAGAAATAAAAACAAATTCTTTAAAACGTATGCTCACTCAGCTGTGCCGCACAAGTAATACAACAACTGTTCTATTACCAGTGCGATCATATAGCCTACCTCAAATTTTGAAATATACAGTACCAGTCAAAAGTTTGGACTTACCTACTCATTCAAGGGTTTTTCTTTATTTTTACTATTTTCTACATTGTAGAATAATAGTGAAGACATCAAAACTATGAAATAACACACATGGAATCATGTAGTAACCAAAATCACGAGGACCACCACAGGAAAGAAAGACCCAGAGTTACCTCTTCTGCAGAGGATAAGTTCATTAGAATTACCAGCCTCAGAAATTGCAGTCCAAATAAATGCTTCAGAGTTCAAGTAACAGAGGATACTGCGTGAATCAGGCCTTCATGGTCAAATTGCTGCAAAGAAACCACTACTAAAGGACACCAATAAGAAGAAGAGACTTGCTTGGGCCAAGAAACGAGTAATGGACATTAGACCGGTGGAAATCTGTCCTTTGGTCTGATGAGTTCAAATTTGAGATTTTTTGGTTCCAACCGCCGTGTCTTTCTGAGACGCAGAGTAGGTGAACGGATGATCTCTGCATGTGTGGTTCCCACCGTGAGGCATGGAGGTGTGATGGTGTGGGGGTGCTTTGCTGGTGACACGGTCAGTGATTTATTTAGAATTCAAGGCACACTTACCCAGCATGGCTACCACAGCATTCTGCAGCGATACGCCATCCCATCTGGTTTGGGTTTAGTGGGACTATCATTTGTTTTTCAACAGGACAATGACCCAAAACACACCTCCAGGCTGTGTAAGGGCTATTTGACCAAGAAGGAGAGTGATGAGTGCTGCATCAGATGACCGGGCCTCCACAATCCCCCGACCTCAACCCAATTGAGATGGTTTGGGATGAGTTGGACCGCAGAGTGAAGGAAAAGCAGCCAACAAGCATTCCTCATGAAGCTGGTTGAGAGAATGCCAAGAGTGTGCAAAGCTGTCAAGGCAAGGGTGGCTACTTTGAAGAACCTAAAATATATTTAGATTTGTTTAACACTTTTTTGGTTACTACATGATTCCATATGTGTTATTTCATAGTGTTGATGTCTTCACTATTATTCTACAATGTAGAAAATAGTTAAAATAAAGAAAAACCCTTGAATGAGTAGGTGTCAACTTTGACTGGTATTGTATGCATGTAATATATATATATATATATATCAGCCCAAGTTAAAGTCAATGGGAAACAAAGCTAAAAGCCTAAGTAATAAACTCTAGCCAATTATTCTGTGAGGAGGCTCTATTCTATCAAAATCTCTCAATCTCTCTGGGGGAGAAAGCAGCTCATCAGCTCTGCAGAGGATTTCAGGGTCAAACTGGCGGTGGCGTCTGCATTCGCTTCAGTCATCTACACTCAGCAGGCGAGGCAAGTCAAGCCCGTCCCCTTGCTATTTACAAACACAGCTGTTCCAGTTTTTGTAGCTCGCTAGCTTAGCTAGCTAGTAACGTTAACGTTGGTCAACAAACCATTGGACAAAACTAAACTAAACATTAAAAGGGAACGATCTGGCTAACTTGGGTATAGTTTTACTGCAACTATTCAGTTAAATAAATAACCAACGATGCTACATAATGTATTTTGTAGAGCTAGCCAACGTAGCTAGCTTTAGCTACTTGATACGTGTCACTGCCTCTAGCCAGGAAGCTAGCTAATCACTTGCTTCAGTTCACCAGAACTTCCAACAGAAGATGGTTACAAACATGTATTTGGACAATATGCATGCATACAAGTATGGTCTGCACAAACTACTTAAGAGTTTTTAGAAAAAAAAAATTGGCGGCTTATAAACGTGCAAGACATTTCTCGTTAGCCAGCTAGCTAACGTTAGCTAGCTACCACACAACTGCAGGCTACGGAACCTTCAATGGGAGCATATCTGCTTACCTCTGGGGGTAGATTAGCCGGGGGAAGATATGGGGGGTTATTGCTTGGTTTGGAGTTTCGGGATGACCGACTCTTTCCTTTTTTCGCATTCTTCAAAGAATACTTTTTAGAACCCATTACGAAGCCATTCCCCGAACTAACGTTAGATCCAACTCCTTGGCAACCAGACTTCTGCCCGGAACCTGACCCAAAAAGCTCTGATACCCGCGAATCCATTACTTCGGAACGGTGTGTACGCTAGCTATGTACGATTTGAAATAGAAAACTTCCTAAAACCGAGACATTCAAGCGTATTTTTAATGGGGAGAGTTTCAAAAAGAGCGAGAACGCCAACACAACTACCTGCTGGTTAGGGTTCCTGCCCCCCCTACAAAGTGGACAATAACAACTCCGCGTCATTGACTCGTTTTGAGTTGACAGCGGATCTACGTCAGACCTACATATTTAAAGTAGCTAGCCACGTCAGTATATTTCAACAATACAAATATTTTGGCTTGTTCGACATTGCAGCCTACAGTGCAAGCAACTGCCGACTGACTGATCTACAAATCACCTTGCATCATAAATAACGACTCATTATTATTTTTAGATCAGTCAGTCAATCACATTTTACCCATGATAGGCTACATCACGGTTTTGACACAGCCAAAATGATTCAAGTCTTTTGCATGAGCTACTTAAAGGTGCATTCATATTACCTATATTTGAAGATGAAGTAAACTTTTTTATAACTTTCCAACTGATTGTGTAGCAATACCATTTGTTAGAAATATTGAGTTAATACAAGTTAAGATATTTATTTTAACCTAACCAATAGGCCTAAACTGTATGAGGTACGTTGTTACTGCAGGGACCAACTTGTATGAAAATGTATATTGTTCAATAGTACCACCATGTGGTCACACGCCAAAAAATATATTGTGCTTTCGGGGAGGTGCACCTGTGACAGCCAAAAGTCGAACTGATTTGGTTTTCCAACAGCAAGGCTCAGTGCAACATGGCAGTGTTGTCATTGTTTATAAAAGTTTTTCTTTGTAATGTTGAAACAAGCATGTCTCCAACCCCCATATCACACACAAATTGTAAATATACACTTTGTGTCCAGTTTATAAGGTACACCCATCTCAAATAAAATTGTATTTGTCACATAGACCTTACTGTGCAATGCTTACTTATGAGCCCTTAACCAACAATGCAGAGTTGTAAAAAAATAAGTAAGAAATGTTTGCTAAATAAACTAAAGGAAACATAGTAACACAATAAAATAACAATAACAAAGCTATATAGAAGTGGTACCGAGTCAATTTGCCGGGGTACGGGTTTGTTGAGGTAATTGAGGCAATACTGTATGTACATGTAGGTAGGGGTAAAGTGCATAGATAATAAACAGAGAGTAGCAGCAGTGTATGTGAAGAGTGTGAAGGACTGCCATCAGCATGACGCAACAAGAACCAGGATTCGTCGGACCAGGCAATGTTTTTCCACTCCTCAATTGTCCAGTGTTGGTGATCGGGTGCCCACTGGAGCCGTTTCTTCTTGTTTTTAGCTGATAGGAGTGGAACCCGGTGTGGTCTTCTGCTGCAATAGCCCATCAGTGACAAAGACCTACGAGTTGTGCGTTCCGAGATGGCGTTCTGCACACCACTGTTGTACTGCGGCATTATTTGCCTGTTTGTGGCTCACCTGTTAGCTTGCATGATTCTTGCCATTCTCCTTCAACCTCACATCAATGAGCTGTATTCACCCACAGGACTGCTGCTGACTGGATGTTTTTTGTTTATCGCACCATTCTCGAAAAGCCCTAGACACTATCGTGCATGAAAGCCCATTTCTGAGATACTGGAACCGGCGCGCCTGGCACCGACGATCATACCAAGCTCAAAGTCACTTAGGTCACTCGTTTTGCCCATTCTAATGTTCAATCGAACAGTAACTGAATGCCTCGATGCCTATCTGCCTGCTTAGTAAAGCAAGCCACAGCCACGTTACTCACTGTAGGAGCGAACCATTTTCGTGAACGGGTCGATGTACCTAATAAACTGGCCACTGAGTGTGTGTGTACATTGTACTATCAGTTGGGGAGGGATAGCCTCAAATATCACATTCATTTTCACATATCCACTGTATACATGTAAATTGTGGCAAAGTTGCTTCCTGTTTCAACGCCCACACCAGTAGAAATCCACATTTTTGAGCTGAAAGACGATGGCCAGAGCTTACACATGGTGTTGAACAAGGATGTAAGTCAATAAGTCATCTTTTTAGTCAAAGTATTATGTATTTGGGCTTGAAGTGACAAATTCGTGCCAATTACGTGTATTTTCCTATGAAATGACGTGTAAATCATTTTTTGCCTACGTTTCGTTTCGTTTCAGGGTTGGGTTTTATTTTAATGGTACCACCCACCAGCATGACATTGTTTATTAATCATAAACACCTGCAAGGCTTGCTAGTCACGACTGAGCTGAGCAATGTAATAGATAATCTTTGGCTACAACAAATATGATGAATAAATTAAGATAGTTCCCTCAGGCCGTTTACCATTGAAAAGAATGGTCAGTTCCGGTCTACTTAATGGGGTGGGTCTCCCATAGACACCAATGCAATAGTAGCTGGGTCTGGTCTACTTAGTTCATTGACTTTCATTGAACCAGAAAAAAACTGAGAGTGGGGTGTCTCGCTTCCTCTTCAGTCTCTGGCTACACTTCGCTGTCTGAGCCATGGTGCAAATTATGTTTTTGCACCTACACTTTTTTACCAGCGAATTATCATAATCCATTTGGTAATTTGTGAAGTTTCACTTATTTTTGCGATAGTCTGTATGTACATAAAAAACGAAAATTTTATAAATGGTAAAAGTGCGTGATATGATTGAGTTTTAGAACCCCGCTCCCCAGTCGTCCAAAGATGAATGGTTTTGACCACTACCCAGTGGGCATACAACATGATAAAGACGTCTTTTACTGGTTGAAATCTGGTCAGAACGTCTTATAACCAGATCACAACCAGATTAAGACATGATTTGACATCATGAAAAATGCGCCTTGTTTTGGTTGATATCTGGTTTTTGGTTGAAATCTGATTGAACTACTGACCAGTTATCTAAATGCTACTCAATTACTAGACATCAATCTATATAAACATAGGCATAGTGTTTGTGGGCCATGCACCCATTGCATATAAGACTCGGCATGGATTCGGACTCGGGAAGAGCTCAGACGGCATGAAGCCCACGAGTCCGAATCCATGCCGAATCTTATTACTGGCAGAATCATATTACTCTGGGCTCCGGCTAATGGTACCCGGGCCGAGTCCACTTCAGCTTATCCATCCCGATGAACCTTTTCAGGAGTAGGGCCATTTGCGGTTTTTATTTGGCAGGTGTTGAAATACCTTTTTTTTTTTTTTATGAAGAAATTTGATATATTTCACCCCCAAGTAATGGGTATTTGCTAGGTCATTAAAACCTTACATTTTTGACAGTCTCTGCGGTCCTATAGCTATCAGAGATGGTCCCTAATTGAGAGAATCTCCAATGCTATTAATTTTTTATGTTTTTACTACAGGCTTTGGCAGTGTTTTTCGTAGTGCAGTCCACCCAATTGAAAAGTGCACATTCACTTCCATAACATTTGTTCTAGGCTACCAGCATTAAAGATAAACATGCCCGATAATACAGGATACCCTTACAAAAATCCAGTGCTGTTAAAATGCAGTAATAATGCAGTACATTGAAATAATGGTTGTTTAATTAATGATATCTGGTAGCTTGCTCTGTGTTGGCTTCTAATGGTAATATTGTATCTGTGTAATGGCACTGTTTATTGTGCTGCACATTTTCTTCTGTTCCACGAATGCTGTTTTGAAGTTCTATTATGACTAACTCAATTTGTTTTCAGAATTTAGCAAATAACACATAGGCCTATGTCTTTTATTTCAATATCATACTACAATCCACCAGGATTTACAAAACCCTATTTTTATTGCATTTACCGTATTTCCATAAATAATTAGTCAAAATATATTGCACCAATTATGTCTCAGATTTTGTTTTCTTGGAAAGCTGTGAGTGCTGTTATATGATACAATAGCAGTACTTGTTGCATTTACAACTTGTCTAAGTCCTATCATCAACTGATCTGAGCCAGTGTATGGCTGCATTGTTTGAATGGAATGTTGGCATATTGGCAGTTAATTGGAAAAAATTAATGGAATCATTCCTCTAAAACTGTCTGGCTAGCTAGCTAAGACACATACAGTGCAGATCAATTCTTCACATTCATTGTTTTACACAATATCTTTTCACAGAACTGGCAAATCATGGTTGACCAACATGGCTGACCTTCGGACCATCACAAGAAGGTCCATGTCAATTCTAGTATTCTAATTCCTAATTCTATGTTTTACTTTAACTTTGAAACCATACTGCTTATGTTTCACAGATCCCCATCTGCTAGATTAACCCCCCAAACTCACTCCACAGCGACCCTAGCGTTGAGCTGAGCGCAACTGCAAATCTGGGTCATGGCACCATTGTAAAGGACATCACGCTGCTTGCTTAGACATACTGCTCCCTCCCAATCCAGCTCATATCGAGACTCGAACTTGGGACCTCTGCCTCACAAACACATGTGAACACCCTGATGAAAGGTTTTAACCCTTCGCACTACTGAATTTAATAGCGCAAGTGGTGATCCTTCAGGCTGAGGAGTGAGTTTCACATTTTCCCATCTGCTACACTTAAATTCAACACAAAACCAATAAACCGAGTAGTGTAGCCCAGGAGGCACACATCCATTTTCTTCTCTCATTTCAGCTTACAAGCTCCATTAGCCATGCATTCACCAAACACAGTAGCCAACGTGCTATGTAAACCAAGGATCCACCATGCCTCTGGACTGCATCACCTCATGTGGGCAGCCACCTTGAACACAACATGAAACGAGTTTAAAGTAACATTCCAGTGTTTCCAGATTTCTATGAAATATGACCTATAATTAATTACAATATGAGTTAAATAGTTTTCCAAAAAAATGATAATTAATTATGTAAAAAAACAGCTTTTCTGTGTTGGAATGGTATGGGTGCACCCCAACAACAAAAAGGTGTGGGCATATACCAGTCATTAAAAATAGTCATGCGAGTAAACCGCTGATTGGCCAGCTCATCCTCCTCAGGAGTATGTTTTTAGAAAATGGTCCATGCAAACCGTTTTACATCAATTCATGTTGAAATGTAAAGAACCTAGTGAAATTATTCCACATGATCAATGAACCAACCAAATCAGGTGATTCTATGCCCCATCTTGTTGGTAGTGAGGTGGAAAACTGTTGAGGTGCATGTTGCTGTGCCTGTCACATTTCTTTAGCGTTTCGAGCTGTGGAATGTGTGAGATTCAGGCAGAAACTCACAGATATGTGACTCGATCACACAAATGCATCTATTCTGTTCTTCCTAAACCTGCCCCATGATCTGTTTTTTTTTTCTGTCATGATGAAACACCTTAGCACATTTATCTAGCACCATGTTCCTCTCTCTGGCAGGTTTACAGTGAGCGTTATATAGACCAGATTGGCATCCTCGGCTACTTCCCCAGCAACCTGGTGAAGGAGACTACCAAATTTAGGAAGGATACTGATACTGTGGAGATCCCTATGACATCATACTCTATGAGGAAATAGCAAGCATTTTTAAAATCATATGTTTGAGGTAGGGTTTTTGAAGCTATCTTTCTCCAATATATACTTTGGCCACAAATACGAGTATAAGATGAGTCAACAACATTATTTGGGTTTTAGTTAACAGAATATGAACAATAACTGGTAATGGTGCATAGCTTTAGAAAGGTCTGTAACTCAGCTTTCTGACCAAAATAGTTATACATTGCTGAGGTGTACTCACTTTTTAGGACACAAGCTCAAGTACATAGTACAAATATTATGAAAATATGAAAAATCATATGTGATTATTTTCCTATTCAACAAAAGTCGGGCAATAGGGTTTGAAATGACTGAAATGCTTTCTAAATATAGTAACAATCAAATTATAAATGACTTACTATACAATTTCACCTTTCTTATAACTGTAAAATACATATGATCATTCTTAGTTACAGTACAATATTGGCACCATTTCATATAACTGATGACACAGACTTTTGTACGAAATGATAAATTATACAAAATCATTTTGTATTTGTTCCTGTTGAGGTCTATAAATCCATCTGAGAACATCTCAGCTAGATGAAACTGCTATTATTGCATCCGCTAGACTCTCCTGTTTTATATGCGCTATTGCAAGCACAGCTACAAGGTTCACAGTCACAGAAAATCGTTCATTTGTCTGGATAGGCCAGAAAATGTGACGTGCTCCCTATAAAAATAGACAATTTCCTGTGTCTGTGAACCTCACAGCTGTGCTTGCAATAGCGCAAATGAATCGGGACGACCAGCGCTTGATGTTGCCCTGTTCACAGTGCACACTGTACACAGAAACATTGGACGGAACCAGTCCAGAACCGCTCAAAGTCCCCTATATAGGGGACTTAACATCTATTTGTTAAATACACATCGCACCAATCTCATGACAATACAATTATCCAATAGCAAGGTGTGTTTTATTGACATGCAAATAAGTCATATCTGTGAAATCTAGGCCTAGATTCAATCCATATCGCGGAAGATCCACGCTAATTTAAAGGCGATGTTCCGCATTGGCGGAGAGTGCATTCACGGTAAACGCTGCAAGTATAAACACCATGGGACCATTCAGCCATCAAACCGCTCAGGAAGGAGACGCGTTCTATCTCCTAGATATTGTAGCATTTTTAATGAATTTATTTACAAATTATGGTGGAAAATAAGTATTTGGTCAATAACAAAAGTTTCTCAATACTTTGTTATATACCCTTTGTTGGCAATGACACAGGTCAAACGTTTTCTGTAAGTCTTCACAAGGTTTTCACACACTGTTGATGGTATTTTGGCCCATTCCTTCATGCAGATCTCCTCTAGAGCAGTGATGTTTTGGGGCTGTCGCTGGGCAACACGGACTTTCAACTCCCTCCAAAGATTTTCTATGGGGTTGAGATCTGGAGACTGGCTAGGCCACTCCAGGACCTTGAAATGCTTCTTACGAAGCCACTCCTTCGTTGCCCGGGTGGTGTGTTTGGGATCATTGTCATGCTGAAAGACCCAGCCACGTTTCATCTTCAATGCCCTTGCTGATGGAAGGAGGTTTTCACTCAAAATCTCACGATACATGGCCCCATTCATTCTTTCCTTTACACGGATCAGTCGTCCTGGTCCCTTTGCAGAAAAACAGCCCCAAAGCATGATGTTTCCACCCCCATGCTTCACAGTAGGTATGGTGTTCTTTGGATGCAACTCAGCATTCTTTGTCCTCCAAACACGACGAGTTGAGTTTTTACCCAAAAGTTTCATCTGACCATATGACATTCTCCCAATCTTCTTCTGGATCATCCAAATGCACTCTAGCAAACTTCAGACGGGCCTGGACATGTACTGGCTTAAGCAGGGGGACACGTCTGGCACTGCAGGATTTGAGTCCCTGGCGGCGTAGTGTGTTACTGATGGTAGGCTTTGTTACTTTGGTCCCAGCTCTCTGCAGGTCATTCACTAGGTCCCCCCGTGTGGTTCTGGGATTTTTGCTCACCGTTCTTGTGATCATTTTGACCCCACGGGGTGAGATCTTGCGTGGAGCCCCAGATCGAGGGAGATTATCAGTGGTCTTGTATGTCTTCCATTTCCTAATAATTGCTCCAACAGTTGATTTCTTCAAACCAAGCTGCTTACTTATTGCAGATTCAGTCTTCCCAGCCTGGTGCAGGTCTACAATTTTGTTTCTGGTGTCCTTTGACAGCTCTTTGGTCTTGGCCATAGTGGAGTTTGGAGTGTGACTGTTTGAGGTTGTGGACAGGTGTCTTTAATACTGATAACAAGTTCAAACAGGTGCCATTAATACAGGTAACGAGTGGAGGACAGAGGAGCCTCTTAAAGAAGAAGTTACAGGTCTGTGAGAGCCAGAAATCTTGCTTGTTTGTAGGTGACCAAATACTTATTTTCCACCATAATTTGCAAATAAATTCATAAAAAATCCTACAATGTGATTTTCTGGAGAAAAAAAATCTCAATTTGTCTGTCATAGTTAACGTGTACCTATGATGAAAATTACAGGCCTCTCTCATCTTTTTAAGTGGGAGAACTTGCACAATTGGTGGCTGACTAAATACTTTTTTCCCCACTGTATATTAATAGATTGTCTTTTATTAATAATGTTTTGTTGTTGCATTTAACTTCAGAAAATGCTGTTATCAAGGTAATTTCCTTGGTATGTGATGTCAGAGTTCAGAGATGATAACGAGTTTCCCAGCGTTCAAGTGAATTTTTCCCAGTTGTATTTAAGAATTTACGATATTTTAGAACGCATCATCAATCCAGTTTTACTGACAGCATTTCCAGCCACCATGTAGGTAAAACTTGAAGACAGGGCCCATCTGTTGTAATATAATAATAATAAATGCCATTTAGCAGACGCTTTTATCCAAAGCGACTTACAGTCATGCGTGCATACACTTTTTTTTTTTGTGTATGGGTGGTCCCGGGGATCGAACCCACTACCTTGGCGTTACAAGCGCCGTGCTCTACCAGCTGAGCTACAGAGGACGTTGTAGGCTCCTGCTGGGATATCACCAAGGTGTAGTCTGCAAAACAACAAACCCATTAGCCTAAATGGAACTAGTGGAAATGAAGGGCAGAAAGAATATATTCCCTACATGCAGTGATTTCCTGAACACCCTCTGATTTAGGAACTCTGGAGAAATCAAGTGGATGTGGTTGAATCATACTCCAATCTCAAATGTCTAATAAGCACTAATTAGATACCTGGTGAGGCAGCTGCATGTTGCCAAACATAAAAATAACAAACAAGAAAACATACAAATATCTGTGTCTGTTTTTAATAAGAGCTCACTGCAGGGTTTTGGTTTTTCCCATAAAACTTGCAGCCCACTTGTTTTCTTTTTTGGGGGGGAATGTGGAATGTGGAATGTGGAGCCAGTCTACTCTGATTGGTCAGAATGGCTGTGATGTAGGGGTTCTGCCCATTCAGACATAGGAGAAGAAGTGTGGGGAAGATTACAGTAGTGAGTTATTTCGCACTCAGTCAGTACACTCACTTTCTCACACAGTCTTCAGGATGAACCATCCACTGCATTTCGCTCTCCTGCTCCTCTCCTTGGGATTTCTGGACCAGACCACCACCAGTGCTGTTCTTATGGACAAACTGGCAAACAGCAAAATCTGTGCAGATGAGGAGTGCTCATGTGAGTACAGTAGATTTGTATGCACCTTACCGATCAGAACACCATTGTTGGGGAGTATGGATTTGTGCTCTCTATTCAGACATTCTGGATTTTTTGAGGGGTGTGACAATACCATGCACCCATCAATCAATCCAGTCAATGCTGGCTTTATATGTGATTTGACAAGAGTGCACAGTCAATGTTTTATTTTATATACTGTAGGTCATTTGCTTTCATGTTGTTTTTGTTGTTGTTCCCTCTCAGATGCTCTCTCTATGGCCGTGGGTCTGGATGACTTCACTGCTCCTGACTGCAGATTCATCAACATCAAGAAGGGCCAGATGATCTACGTGTACTCCAAACTCACACCAGAGGAGGGCACTGGAGTCTTCTGGTCTGGAAGTGTACGTTCTGTGATGACTGGTTTGTTTCCAGAGTTACAGGAACATTTTCATCACGATTCAAATATGTTTTTAGAAAATGGTCCATGCAAACCGTTTTACATCAATTCATGTTGAAATGTAAAGAACCTAGTGAAATTATTCCACATGATCAATGAACCAACCAAATCAGGTGATTCTATGCCCCATCTTGTTGGTAGTGAGGTGGAAAACTGTTGAGGTGCATGTTGCTGTGCCTGTCACATTTCTTTTGCGTTTCGAGCTGTGGAATGTGTGAGATTCAGGCAGAAACTCACAGATATGTGACTCGATCACACAAATGCATCTATTCTGTCCCATGATCTTTATTTTTTTCTGTCATGATGAAATACCTTAGCACATTTATCTAGCACCATGTTCCTCTCTCTGGCAGGTTTACAGTGAGCGTTATGTGGACCAGATGGGCATCCTTGGCTACTTCCCCAGCAACCTGGTGAAGGAGACTACCAAATTTAAGAAGGATACTGATACTGTGGAGATCCCTACGGCCGTGAGTATTACCTCAACTTCCACGCATTCAACACTATAGCTATCAACAACATGTTGTTTGTCTCCATTCGTCTTCTCGCTCAGTAGCTGCATAGTCACAGGTGATCAACAGTTCCAGAAGTATTACTTATTGTTGTAGTTTTGATCATTGTTACATTTGTTCTCTCTTGCAGGATGTTGACTTCTACTGTTTTTGAATCTCTGGATGATGTAGACCACAAGGTCTCTTTTTTGATCAGCTGTTTCACTTTATTCTGAGAATTACAAAGGAAATATGCGGAAATAGAGATCTCTATGATCTGCGGAGCAAGGTTTTTATTATTTCAAAGACTTTTCTTGTATTTTGATATAGAAAATGTTTAAATAAAACCCCTTTTATCCCAATGTCTGTACTGTACATGTTGTGTCTTATCAAATCAGGGATCAAATTATCACTAATAAGACTAAAACGTATTTTCTTACTGTAGGCTATTATCAGACCTCAGGATAAGACCCAGATGCAGACACTTCGAAGTAACAAAAGTTTATTACAACAACGGGCAGGCAAGTAACAGGTCAAGGGCAGGCAGAGGTCAGTAATCCAGAGCAGAGTCCGAAAGGTACAGAACGGCAGGCAGGCTCAGGGTCAGGGTCAGGCAGAGGTCAGTAATCCAGGGCAGTGTCACAAGGTACAGAACGGCAGGCAGGCTCAGGGTCAGGGCAGGCAGAATGGTCAAAACCAGGAAAACTAGAAAACTGTGACTAGAGCGAAAACAGAAGTATGGGAAACCCACTGGTAGGCTTGATGAGACAAGACGAGCTGGCAACAGACAAACAGAAAAAACAGGTATATATGCACAGGGGATAATGGGGGAAATGGGCGACACCTGGAGGGGGGTTGAGACAAGCACAAGACAGGTGAAACAGATTAGGGTGTGACAGGCTATCTTACACTTGTTGGAGTTTGACTGAATGGAAATTCTATGTTTCCAAGTACCCAAACATAAAACAGCGTCACAGTGTTGAGCGTAGGATACTGCTGGTGTGTGTTGGAAAGCCTCCTGTATGTTTTGGATGTGTTTAGATCCTTGGTAAACAGGATCGCAGAGTAAGCCTGCCCAGGTTATGGGGGTTACCTTGTTTCATAGGATTAGGTGTTATGAAAAGCACCACTGAAAACATTCTGATAAAATGTTAGTGGAAGGTTATATCAATTTGATATGCTTGGAAACAGATAGAGGAAGGAGAAAGCGTGACATTGATTTTGCAGTTGATGAGGCAACACCTCATCATCTGGCTGGGTATGACACATTTAATAGAAACAACCTAATGAGTTGATATTAGGTTATAGAGTAGTAAATACCTCAAGAAAAAATATTATGTGAAGATTTGTTAAGAAGATATTTAACAGGTAAGCAGTGGAAATAGAAAGGTGAGGTGATGTTTGGCTGTATGGAGAGTCAACACCAGACAAATTGTGTATTTATCTGTGGTGATGAATTTCTCTGGGGTGCATCCTGGTCTGTGGATGTTGAATGGCTGAAAATTGAAGGTAATTATGTTTAAGAGCACATTCTCTTCTTCCTGCTGTAGTGGTATTAATGGATATTACCTAATTCAATTTGTTATCCTGAATGAAGCTCTTTGTAGCAGTGCCAAACCTGCATTTACTTAATCCAGCAAAGGTCGTCATAACCCGGAAAAAAGTAAGCATACTGTGTTTTACACAAAATATTTGTGTGTCACAGTGGAAAAAGGATTAGATCACTTTAAAATGTAGTAAATATTATTTGTTTCCTCTTCCTTTCCTCTTTCATAAACATTTGCATATTTGCATATATTTTATAAACACTGTGAGAAAGGTAAACATGAAAACCAATTTTCCCAGTATACCTTTACATTGAGGCTAATTCGAAATGTGGTTGCATAGTCTTGTCTCTCGCTCTCTGTCACATGCACATACACGCAAGCATGCATCCACACATGCATGCACCTACTGTGCACGCACACTCACACTCACACACCACACACACACACACGAGCACACACACACACGAACACACACAGATAGAGACATACCTACACTCAGAAAAGAATCAACACACTGATTGTGTTATTCAGAGTGAATGAACATTCGCAGTGTGTATGAGTGTTGAAGGCAGGTTTAGCTTGCAGCGCAGTGTAAGGTCATCAGGGATATGTGGTGGAGGTGAGATACTGACGTATGGTAATGACCCATCTGCTGCCATGGCAATGGAACCACGGCCTACATGCTCACCTTGAGAGAGAATGCAGATCATCTTTGGAATTTGAAAGATATGAATTTGAAATGTCATGTTTTTCATTTCCTAATGTTAATGCATTTGCTTATGGGTTGGTAATGACACCCCAAGGAAGGCAGCTGCCGAAACCTTGGTGACTATTAATGAATCATTTGCATCAGAGCAAGAGTGGGTGCCCAAATCCTCTTTTGAATACTGATTGATAAAGTCCCAATTAATACTAACTGGAAAAATTGTGCGATTTTGCTAAACTTGTATCTAATATTTGAGTATTTAATCTACGTTCCATATACATACATTTATCCATTAACCATATGATCAGCATAAAAATGATTGGCAAATTGCAACAAACAACTTGAACTGCAGTGTATTAGCGCTGGTTTTCTTAAAACGATAATAATGGGAAATTACATGCACCTGCTTGCTAAAAGAATCTTGATTCCAATGAAAAACCCATAACAATTTACGAGTAGATTAACTGATCTCTCATTGTTATGGTTCTGATACCAGACAACTGCTTCTAGGTTCTGCGTCTAGATTCTCTATTTCCGCCACCAATTAAATAACGAACATTAGGAACATTGAAAATCGTCAAAGGCTTGTAATGAATTAATGTAAAATACTTGTATGCTTGTAATAATGGAGTGTACATCATAAAATGTTTCATGTCAACATAGAATACCATTTTTGTGCAATTTGAATTAAATGTATTAGACTTATTTAATTTGAATAAAAAAATATAGGCTAACCAACAATAGTTTTCAATTAATACAATGTGTAGGGTAAATTGCCGCAGTAGATTTTCATGGTAAACAAGGAAATATTGTATTTTATTTTTACAGAATGACTATCAAATAGATACTGTACATCTGTTCTTAGTCTGCTCAATTAGCAGGTTTTAAGTTAACACCGACCTCGGCTTTAGTGGGAATGGTAATACGGTGGCCAATAGGCCTAATGGTTGCAACTGAGATCAGCTGCGTGGGTGGTCTTAGCCTGTATTGATGGTTTAACAAGAGATGAGCTTGGCACATAATGGCCAATACATTGGCACATAATGGTTGCAATTAGCCCAATAGTTTTAACGATATTTTGAAGTTTTAGAGTGTTTGTTTACAGTTACATTGTTTACAAACAACGGAGCTAAACACGCTTATATTTGGGGTTATGATGGAGTTGCTCATGAGGCATTTATAAGTTATGTTCTTCAAGAATCAATGTACAATATACATAATTAATTTAAAAGTAAAAAATAACTGATTGTAGAAATCACAGATTGCCCCTTAAATTAAATACAACCCTATACCTCTGAAAATCTGATGATTCAGTTTGGAGCCAGGCCAAAAGGAGGGATTTGTGCAGTTATTTCATCATTAAGAAACAAAATACGCTTTTTCTTTTTTGTCCAGGGGCCTCATTACATTTCAAAGGATGAACTCTCACACCGGAGACTTGTTACATCCAGGACGACTCCAATCAAAAATGAGATTAGAAATGAATCAATCATGTAGTTAACTCTAATGTTCAAAAACAAGAAAATTGTGATGCTCGTAGTAGTTTGACAATGAGTCTGTTTATTAAGGAACACATCTTCACCCAGTGGGTTATCATTTACATGATGTGAAAGTAACGTGACCAGAGATCGAAATTTCTCCTTTATGAGCTAATTATAAAGTGAAAGCTCAGTGTGACTCACTTTTGAAACATGCACGCATGCACGCATACACACACACACGCACGCACGCACACACACACCCACGCACGCACGCACGCGCTCACACACACACACACACACACACACACACACACACACACATGCACACACACAAAGGTTTTTCAGAGAATACATGCTTTTGCATACAATGGCCTCCTTCACGATTAAACGTGCCCTGATATTTCCTTTCTCAGTTAAGACCCCCTCCTCAGGATGTGTGGACATTATTTATCCCTCCTCTCCGTTTGATTGGCTGTGAATCCTCCATATCCCGCACTGCGTCATTTCTACCGCCCTGTTACAGCTGGGAAGGAATTCAATTCATCAACAGCTATAGCCCATGGCTCTCAAAACTGCAGTATTTGCCCAACACCATTAGACATTGGGAGAACAAACAGCACTCTCCCATATTCTTTGTTTGTCTTGATAAACATTCATCCTAAAATAAAATCCCTTACTGAAATAGGTTGCTTTCATTCTGAAACCTCAAACAGCCACTTAAGCAGAGTAGGGGGTGAGTGAAGTACATGGTGTTATGTACAAAACATGCTCTTTCCATGATATAGACTGACCAGGTGAATCCAGGTGAAAGCTATGATACCTTATTGATGTCACCTGTTAAATCCACTTTAATCAGGGTAGATGAAGGGGAGGAGACAGGTTAACCTCTACGGGATCGGTGTCCCGTATACGGGACGGTTGAGCTAATGTGCCCTAATGTGATTAGCATGAGTGTTGTAAGTAACAGCAAACTTTCCAGGACATAGACATGTCTTATATGGGCAGAAAGCTTACATTCTTGTTAATCTAACTGCACTGTCCAATTTACAGTAGCTATTACAGTGAAAACATACCATGCTATTGGTTGAGGAGAGTGCACAACAACAAAAAACGTATCACGGCAACTGGTTTGATACATTCACCTCTGAAGGCAAATCATGTACTTACATTCAGTAATCTTGCTATGATTTGTCATCCTAAGGGCCCCAGAGATAAAATGTAGCATAGTTTTGTTTGATCAAATCAATTTTTATATTCTGGGTCCTACAGTTTGAACCCCTGCTGTCTCTGGCTCCACACCCACCCCGCCCGGCCATCTAGATGTGTGAAAGTTAGTGTATAAGCTAATGATCCATCATGTATGACATTCCTGGGAGTGTGTAAACTTACATTTTATATTACCATCATTTTTGTATGTTCTCTATAGTTATGTACTTGAAAATGTATCAATTTACCAATTCGGCACATTTGGGCAGACTTTATACAAACTAGTCCAGTATAGTCCTGCCATGTGCAGTGTGGTCCTCTGTAGCTCAGCTGGTAGAGCACAGTGCTTGTAATGCCAAGGTAGTGGGTTCGATCCCCGGGACCACCCATACACAAAAATTTATGCACGCATGACTGTAAGT